GTATGTATATACACAAACTCTAGTTTTTGTGGTCAATAAGGAAAGCTGAAATGCAAAAATATACGCAAGTTTGTTGCTGCTCATGAAATTGCGTTTGACTGGCTATCAATGTCTGTTTAAAAAAAAAAGTAGAAAATGCTACAACTGGCATAACCTGACACAAATCACTTTTATTACCTGCCCCAATATCACTTCAAAATCGACAAAAATTATTTACATGCATTTTTCTCATTTTAATTAAATTCACTTAATTTTTTTTATATATTATTTCATTTCGTTTTATTGTGTTTATTTTTATTCATTTTCTTTTAAGATATCTTAAATTTTTTTCTTGTTATATTTCATTCCATTTACCTTCCTTATTTTTTCAACATTTTCGTTTTATTTTATTTTATTTTATTTTATTTTATTTTATTTTATTTTATTTTATTTTATTTTATTTTATTTTATTTTATTTTATTATATTTTATTTTATTTTAATTTATTTTAGTTTCCTTTATTTTGTTTTTTTTATTTTATTTTTTTTTTATTTTATTTATTTTATTTGACTGCATTTCGTTTCATTTAATTTTATTTTATTTTGTTTAATTTAGATTTTTTTAATTTTATCGTTTTATTTTTGTTTTATTTCATCTAATTTTTTTTTATTTTATTTCTTTTATTTTATTCTTTTTTTTTTTGGTAAAATTTTTTTATTTAATTCTACTTTCCTTTGCTTCTTTTGTTTTACTATATTTCATTTTTTTATATTAGTTTACTTTATTTGATTTAATTATTGTTTTTTAATTTAATTTATTTTTTGTTATTTATATTTTATTTTTTATAAAACTATATAGTTTCATTTTATTATTTATATTTTATTTAATTTTTTTAAATTTATTTTATTTCATTTTTTTATATTTAATTTTATTTTCCTTTGTTTATTTTATTTTACTATATTTCGTTTTTTCCATATATTTATTTTTGGTTTATTTCACTTAATTTGTGCGTAAATATGTATGCAGGAAATTTATTGGGTGCCTAAAGTGAGTACGGTGTATTGCGCACCTTAACTTTAGGCCAGCTCGAATATACTTGTGGTATCGTTTCGATTCACACCTGTACATATGTATGTACTTAAACACCTTTCTAGATCATATGGCCGGTTGCCGGTTGTCACCTAAGCTGCCGTCTAGTCTCCATAAACAGGTTGTTGCACGTGACACTGTTACGCATGACAGTGCAATGTACGCGTGCGTACAAGGAAGCGAGGAAATCGAAATAAAACCAGTAAAATAAAAATAAAATGCATAAAAGTAAAGTGTTCGTGACATAATTTGGCTACTTAAAGAATAGTGTGGTAATGTTGGTAAATCGGTTTGAATGAACAAAACCGTTACTAGTACTTGGGCGACTTGTCATACTTCAATGCAACATATACATATATGTATTGTATATGTATATTTTTTAAGACAATTTTCACTTACACCATTTCATTATAAACTCAAATTTTTATTGTACGAGGAAGGCTACTCGTTAAACCGGACAGCCGGTCCACGTATTTGTCTGCCAACTTTACAATCAGCTGATTTGAAAATTATTTATTTAGTCCAGAAAAATCAACGCAATCCGCTGCGTGGCCACAAGTCAGCCTACAAGCATAGAAACAACATTTGTCATTTGATCGGCCAGCGTGTAAGGCGGAAAACCATTGTTGAAAGAGTGTCTATTCCATATTAAATATCAAGCGATTTTTGTTAACCAACCGAATGCAAATTCAACCACCTGGATGTGTGTATTATATTTAATTGACGTTTTGCAACCACTGAAGGGATTTTCAGTCGAGCTTCTTCTCTTCCTACTAAGCCGCCTCGGCATGGTTGATGGGTTTCTTTTAGGAGATATACACGTGTTGCGAGTTTTTAGGAAATGTACTCACCTCAGAAGAACTCTAAAATTGATTAATGAATTTGATCTTTAACCTTACTGTGAAGAATCATCCCCTTCACGTTGGGCTGACTTCGCTCATGTATAACACCAAAAGTATGAGTAAATCTTATTTTAATAATGTTTCATAATATTGAGCACCAGCTAGGTATACATATATGCATACATACATATTATCCCACATTATTATAATTGCAAGCTAATGTTTTTTAAAGCGATCACGACTAATCAGTATGCATATAAATATGTATGTAATTAGCAAAGTGCAGACGTCCCCATGCAGTCTCCATTTGCAAATGTGTCGACGGTGACAATAGCCATGTGGGTTAGGCAACACCTATCTATGTGCATACATACATATCTATATATTATTTAAAAAAAAAGCTAATATTCAAAATTTGCCAAGTAACAATATTTTTTCACTCTACTTTTGTCTCTCTTCGCTGATAGCTCTAAATTTTTTAATTATATTAAATAAATAATTTTTTCTTTATGCCTTTGTTGTTGTTGTTGATATTATAAACCTAAATATTTTTCAAATTTATAAATATTTTGCTTTTATTTGGTTCCCCGGAACGCAAACAAAAAAACAAAAAAAAAAACAAAAAAAAAAAACAAAAAAAAAAACATAAAAAAAGCAATTCAAAAACTAATTTAAAAATTCACGTACCAAATTTACTTGGTTCTTTTCGTTTTTTAGCGCTATTTTTGTTCGCAAAATTGTTATCAAATATTACAAATTGTGCTTAGCGAACTCAATAGCCGAGTGGCCGAGTGGTTAGCATTGCGTACTGCCATTCGGAAGGCTAGGGTTCGAGACCTGGCCCGATCAACATCTAAAAATTATAAAAAATTTAATTAAAACAAAAAATTTAATTAATTTTTTAATTGCAGTCGTGACCTCGGCAGCGAATGTCAACTCCTCCGAGTGTATTTCTGACATGAAGTTAAGGGTCCTCATAAAAAAACCCCAGCATTTCGGAGGCGGTTTGGAATGAACTATGGGTCACTCCATTTGTTGAGAAAACATCAAGACGCAAAACCACAAATTGGATGTGAGAAGCTCGGCCAAAAATCGCTTCAGCGGTTACTAAGCGCCAAATTATATTTGTATACGCATACATACATACGTGTATTTATTTTGAATCAAATGCATTAAGCTGAATAGGTTAAGGGGTTGCATGTGTTTACTTGGGGAAAAAATTGTGTCTTTTTAATTTGCTTTCAGTTTTGAAATATTAAATATTTCATTTCAATATTTCAATATGTTGACGGTACATATTTCACAAAATGTTTATAATAATTAAGGTTATCATAAACAATACTGGCATTTCAGGTACCTCTTTCGAAAGTTGAGCCCATGTGAAGCAGTATAATTGAGTAAATATGTGAACGAAGTTAAAAGAAAGGAAATTCAAATTCGGATTTTTACAATACCCGAACTTCTTACTCCAATCAACTGTATCTTGAGATATTTTAGATCGATAAGTGAGAGAAAATCAATTATTTTTAATAGGAAACATCTTCAACTATTTATTTACTCCTTTTGGTGTTTGAAAATACCAAGTGCAGTCAGGTCCATCTCTACCTGATCTTTGCATCTTTGCAATGGAGTGGAAGTCTTCCTCCTCATCCTCTGCTACAAGGGCCGAGTACTGTATATATAAAAAGCTTGAATATTCTTATCCATCCGGACCATCTGACCTGACCAGCCGGAACAATCTTCTCTAAGAGTCATCACTGGTCTCGTTTTTCATAGCTTGGATTACAAACGTCAAAAAGACCATCGATGTCTACGATTTATTCATGTTAATGTAATAAAAATCTAACTACGCGCTGCATCAATGGAGGAGTTTTTATATCTCTTTTCTGTTCTGGCGTAAGATTGTGCCATACACGGTGTGTCCCAAAAATAACCGAACTTTTTGGATATAAAATAAAATACACATTATATTATCTTTGAAGGTTATTATTTATTCAAAATAGGTTCCATTTGACTCAACACAATGTTTGGAACGATCAACCAGCGCAAGCATAGATTTTTTTATGTCATTTATAGAAATGTTCTTCAGTACCTCGGTTACGGCTGCTTGAATAGCTGGGATATCATCATAAAATGCTCCCTTCATCTTGGTTTTCAGTTTTGGAAAAAAAAATAGTCACTTGGAAATAGATCAGGCGGATACGGTGGATGGTCGATGAGAGAAATCCCTTTTTTCATTAAAAATTCGAGCGATTTTTTGGTCGTCATTTGATTCAGGTCGAACAAATCGCGTACAGACCTTTTTTTCCCCAAATCTTCAGTTAAAATTCTCCAAACAGTGTTTTTACTCGTATTCATTTCCTCAGCCAACATTCTCGTAGTAAAATTTGCATCGATACCAATGATTTCACGAACTTTTTCCACCAGTTCAGCACGATTACTAGTTTCTGGACGTCCTGCTCTAGGGTCGTCATTTAAATCTTCACGACCATTTTTAAATCATGTAAACCACGTATAAACTTGCATACTACTCAAACAATCATCACAATAAACTTTCAGCTTTTCATTAAGGTTTTTTCAAGTTTGACACAAAATTTTATATTTGCTCTTTGTTCCATTTTATTTTTGAACCATCAGCACACTTTTGGTTTCATTGAAATGGCTGTCACTTTTACATCTGTCATCCGACTTACATGGTGTTTGATGCGTTTGAAAGAGGGTGAATATATCTTTTTCATGTTGCAAATTTTCAATAGATGGCGCTCTATGTTGTATGATTTAAATATAAAGTTCGGTTATTTTTCGGACACACCGTGTATGTTACAGCATACCTTGACCATTTGGTAGTATTTTGAATTTGTTATTACTCAAGAAAAATATTCAACCTTTCAATTACGGTAATTTGATGTATTTGCGAGGTGCTAAAATGACCGATAATGCGTTTTTCACCATTTTTAAACTGCCTTTTCGCAAAAACCCAAGCCATTTTAGATGCAGTTCCCAAATTTTTTATTACAAATTTTTTTTTGCTTATTGCTATATATGTATATATGCCTAATGCTAATTTTTACTTCATTTTCATTCTACACAGGTTCATAAAAATGGCTCATATTTGCCTTGCAATAATTGTTTTTGTTGCAGCAACTACTTGGGCGCGCCCACAACGTTTCGCACATATCGCTGTCATCGAAAATGAAGCCTATGAACAAACCTTGCCCAACGCACTACGCAATCCATTCTATAAGACGCCGCGTGTACGTGAAGCGTTAGCCAAGTCTAGTTGGTTTGGACCGGGCGAGGAGCCGGTATTTACAATATAATAAAAAAAATAACCAAACCAGTTGGTAAAAAAGGAAATAAATGAAAATAAAAATAAAAGAAGAAAATATTTTAAGTACAAAAAATTAAAAAAAAAAAATAAAGAAAATAAATTTAAAAAAAATTAGTAAAAAATATATTAAAAAATAAATACATAAAAAATATTTCAAAAAAATATTAAAAAGGGGAAATAACAAAATACTATAAAAAAAATAAAATGATGCCAAGAAGAAAAAATAAATAAAAAAAAGATGTAAAAATAAAAAATTAATAATTAAATTAACAAAAACAAAAAAGTTAAAAATTAAAAGCAGTACAAATTAATGAACAAAAAAAATATATATGGCATTAAAAATTACACTTCAAAAATAAACAAATAAATATAAAAAACAACTTAAAAAAAGGAGAAAATAAATAAAACATTAATTAAAAATAAAAAAAGATTAATAAAATATTACTAAAAAAGAAAACGAACAAAAAAAAATAAAATTAACAGAAAATAAAAATATTATAAATTAAAAGAATTAAAATTAATATAAAATAAAAAGTTAAAAAAAAAAAATAAAAATTATAATTTAATTTAAAACTATAAGAAAAAATATAGTAAAACAATAAGTAAATAATATTAAAAGGGGGAAAAATATATAACGCTTATTATAAATAAAAAATAACAAAAGTTTTCTATAAATATAAAACTAAAAATTTTAATTATAAAAGAAGTAAAAATTAATATGCAATAAAAAATTGGAAAAAAATAGAAATTAAGAGAGTAAAAATTAAAATAGACTACAAATTAAAAAAAAATTTAAACAATATAAATGTGCAAAAAGAATATAATAAAATAAAAAAGTAAAAAACAGAATAATACATTCAAGAAGTAAAGTCACTCTAGAGGTTGAAAAATAGACTAATTTTCTAAAATTTATTGTAGGAATATGCGAAAAGGAATAGAATTTCTATTTACTTCAATGAAATAATATATGATATTTGATATATGTATATATGTATCTATATATATAAATAGCGCTTTGTAATCGCTGAAGCGATTTTTCGGCAGAGCTCCTCCTTCAATTTGTGGCTTTGTGTCTTGATATTTTTCCAACAATTGGAGGGATCTGCGATTTATACTAAGCCGCCTCCCAACGGCTGATGGTTTTTTATGAGGAGCCTTTATTTCATATCCGAAGGGGTGGGAGGACGTTCCCAGCCGAGGGGCGACCGCAATTAGAAGATTTAACTTGATTTTTTTTTATTTAAAATAATTTTCTTTCCGAAAGTCAGTATGCAATGCTAACCACTCGGCTACTGCGACCACCGATAAAGTCCAATATTTAATCTACGTTTTTTTAATGCCGTCCACGGGAGGACCGATTTCTTCCAAAGGATGAGATCTAGACCAGAAAAGCAAAATTTTTTTTGGATCTACAAACTATGGTCTTTGTAAGTATATACGCATTTATTTTTACACTAATTTTTGTGAAAGCAGCAAAAAAATAATGATTTTTTACTAAAAATAAAACTGAAAAATAGGCATTAAATAATTAAAAAAAGCTTACATTTAATTCTTAAAAAAATGAATTTGTGAAGCTATCATCGAAATTTCAAATATATCAATGCAATGGGATTCGAATAACCTGTCCTCCCAGTTTGGAAAATGTGATTTTGAGAATAACGCTTTTAAAGTTTTAGTTGTACTCTGAGGGGCTGCAGCAAAATAAAAAGTTCAGCTATTTAAATTTTTTTTTTCACTTTAAAACCAATTGAATATTATTTCCAGGACCCAAAGGTACCCTGTGAGCAAAAAAACAAATTGCTTTTTCCAAAATCCTAGAAAGAGCTTTACCCCTAAATAAAAGAATTAAAAAAAAAAAAATAAATAAATAAAAAAAAAAATATCAAAGAAAAATTAAATAAAAAAATAATAGGGAAAAATTAAAATAAAGTAACGAATAAAGAAAATTAAAAAAATTAATAAATAAATCAAAATATAAAATTTAAATCAAATAAAAATGTTAAAACAAAAAAATAAAATAATATATAAAAAGTGAAAAGCAACTAATTAAACTAGGAAACATTTAAAAAGGAAATATATAATTAAAAAAAACCTATAAAAAAATAAAAAATTTAAATTAATTAAAAAGAATTGTTAAAGAGAGAAAATAAATAAGAAACACAAAAATTTGAAATATGTAAAAAATTAAATAAAATTCCGAATAAAAATAAAAAGAAAAAAAATACTAAAAGAAGAAAAAACATTAATTAAGTAATAAAAAATTATATATAAAAGGTATTTAAAAATCTAGAAAATTAAAAGAAGCAAAATAAAAAAATCGAACAAAAAAATATTAAAAAGAAAAAAATCAAAAACTGTTAAACATATTGAAATATGAAATTCTACTAAAAAAACAGTAGAAGGCTGGAAAATCAAATAAAATAATATAAAATAAAAAAGAAAATATAAAAAACTAAAGGAAGTATAAGGTGAATTAAAATAAAGAATTAAAAAAAAAATTAAATTATCAATTCAAAAATCATTTAAAAATATTTTACAAAAATATGTAAGAAGCATTGAAAAATAAGAGCAATAAAAATTAAAATTGAAAAAAAAAAAATGAAATGAAAAAAAAATTAAATTAAAATAAAATAATTAAAAAATAAAACTAAAATAAAATAAATAAATAATAAAATTAAAATAAAATAAAAAAAATAAAATTAAAAAAAAATTAAATTAAAAATAACAAAAAAATAAAGTAAAATAAAAAAAAATAAAAAAAAAGATATATTAAAAAATTTTAAATGAAACTAAAAAAATTAAAATAAAATAAATAAATAATAAAATTAAAATAAAATAAAAAAAATAAAAAAAAAAAAAAATAAAATAAAAAATTAAAATAAAATAAATAAAGAATAAAAAAAAATAATAAAAGGATATATTAAAAAATTTTAAATGAAACTAAAAAAATTGAGTTAATCTGACCACTTGAAATAAATTTACTTGCAGGTATATGATCGTCAAGCTGAGAAAATACCACGTGCGGAGATCTTCAATGTGTTGGCACATGCCGGATTTATTAATAAAAACGGAAATTTGATTTAAGCCATGCAGAGTCGCTTTAAAAAGTTTGAATATTTTCCAATACAGATCATTTTTAGGGCATACAGGCACAAATACCTATGCATTTATGTATATTTAGTAAAACTAACGATTTTATTCACATTTAAAAAAAGAACGGATTTTTTGTTTTTTGGCAAACATATTTACACAAAGTTATTATGTACTCGTATGTATGTGTTTTATTACAGCGGTTCTATTGTACATATTAAAATAAATTTCATTGCAGTCATTAACTTTAAGTATTGTCCATTTGTAATTTATGAAAGAATTACAATATTCGTAAATATATTGTACATACACACAAGCATATGCATGTATTATAAATTTAAAATAAAAAATAAAAGAAAATAACACACTTTAAAGCGAAATTTCAATACAGTGTAGCTATGTATGTGAGAAATGTACGATTTGGTTTTCTCTTCTTTTTTTAACTATTGTTTATACAATACATATTTAAATATTTACTAACATTCTTTAGTATATTTTTTGCTTTTAGTTTACTACAGCATTTTACTTTGTAAAATTTTCAATGAATGCAATCAATAATTTAAAATTCTAATTCTACACTGGCTACAGCAATGCGTTTCAGCTGCGCCTCGTTGTCTTGCCGTTGTGTTGCAGCAGTTTTCGCTGCATTTGCGCTGATTTCCTCATTTTTCAAAATCAAACTTTTGCGTTTCTTCAACTCTAGCGCCTCATCTACCATCTCGATGTCTGCATCCATTGCGACGGCATGTTTTGTGTTATTACCATTCATACTTTCCTTCTCTGCGTGTTTTTGTTCTTCTTCTTCTTCTTCTTCGGTTTCATCATCGTCCGAGTGTTCGGCACCATGACCATTCATAAAAGCCCTACTACCACCATTCAACATTTTCCTTCTATTATATAATGGTTTTCCAGACTTTTCGAACGTTTCTCCTTTGTTAGCGTCGGCATCTTTCGCAGATGAATCAGCAGTTTTAAGGAGAGATTTAACAAAATCGGCAGCGAGGAGACTTAGTGGCGGCATTGTATGTGTGGACATGTCAATTAACTGTGAAAAACAACAAGAGAAGACATTTTTTTCATTAATAATAAATTGTTAAAAATATACATATCTCGAATATAAATATAAACTATTGACAAAAAATTTGAGATATTAAACGAAATGATGATAGATGTACGTAGAGAAAAAGAGAAGAGTTTTGTTTTTGGATTTGGGCTGTAATCTATAATATTTCAATTTATTTGCCTGTCTTTCAAATGGTCTGCGGCTTTTAAAAACAAGAAAGAAGAGCTGTTGCCATTCCAAAATCTTCATACTTTTACTTTAAATTGCCTTAAGTCTTCTTTGATAAAAAAGCTCGATATTTTTGGCTGGTGAGGAATTGGCTTTAAGAGAATCCTGTGAAAGTCGATTGTTACAATTTTTGCCAATAGGCACGAGTCTCTATGAGAGATGCTTAATGACATTACTTTCAAAAATCGCAAAAAATTATCAGTTGTACAACTTTGCTTCCGCCGTTTTTTTTCAAAATTAAAAGCTTTATTGCGAAAGAGTGCTTACAGATATATTATTCAAAGTATTGTCCTTCGCTAGCGACAATTTTCTCCCATCTTTCCGGCAATTATCGGATCCCGGCTCGAAAAAAGGAGTCCTCTTTTGACGCTATCCATGAAGCAATCCATTTTTCCAATTCTTCGAAGGATTGAAAATGTTGATCTGCCAGGCCGTGTGCCATCGAACGGAATAGGTGGAAGTCAGAAGGGGCGACATGTGGGGAATACGGCGGGAGGGGTAAGACTTCCCATTTCAGCGTTTCCAGGTACCTTTTGACCACTTTTGCGGCATGAGGCCGAGCATTGTCGTGTTGGAGGATGACTTTGTCATGTCGCTCTTGATATTGTGGCCGCTTTTCTTTTAGCGCGCGACTAAGGCGCATCAGTTGCGTTCGGTAGCGATCTCCTGTGATGGTTTCACCCGGTTTTAAGAGCTCGCAGTAAATCTTTGAAGGGTTTTTCTCTTCCACCACCATGTTTGTCTTCGACATCGAAATCACCATTTTTAAAACGTTGAAACCATCCCCGACACGTTCTTTCACTCAGAGCAGCATCACCGTAAGTTTCCGAGAGCATTCGATGCGCTTCAGCACTGAAACGGCGATGACAATTCGTTAGGCACTGTCGACACGCACTTTAAAGGCATTATCATCTAAGTATTTCAACCAGCCTCAGCCGGTACAGCCACCTATCGGAAAACGGCGGAAGCAAAGTTGTACACCTGATATTTAATAATAGATAATGGATTATGTTTTATGCAGAAACGGTTATGGAAAAATGGTTCAAAGTTTGTTGAAAGAAAGAGGTTGAAAACCTGGCTTCAACTTTGCGTTGGCGACTGTTCGCCAGATTTAATAGACTATCGGCCTTATGGCCTTATGCTGTATATCGTTATTGGTATGCCATTCGACGCCATCGTCAACAGTATCGTCAGATGGCGTTGTTGTGTTATGCACGTCACCGTTATCGCCCTCGTTTTCTGCCCTTTCTTTTCGTCAGTTATTTTTACTGACGATCCTTCAACGTAAGAGAAGATGAAGAAATTAAGGCGGCTAACGACAAGCGCTGAATTTGAGATTCTTGCAGCAGAATTGGAAAATAAGCCACATTTAGCGAGGGGTTTCCACAAAGGCGCTATCCAACACAATTCAAGAGAGGAGTGAGAAGTTATTGCCTTAAAGTTAATGCGGTAGGAACAACTATCCGGAATGGCCTTGTACCATCCATCGTATCAGGTATATTTGAAATATGAAAGATATCCGAATGATTTCTGCTTCATCATTTTAATTATTTTAGATGTGGAATCATTTCACATTTAAAGTAAAGAAATGAACGACAATTGTCAAGAGCAACTGGCGGAGGGGTTTACTGCAGATGGTATTGACTTCTTTTGAAGCATCTGTTGCAAATTTGATGGGATTCGAAGAGCTGTTAAATCCAGCTGGTGATGATAACAATGAACCGCACCGCGACAGTAGCAGCAACAATATGCAAACTGATTTTAAGAGAGTTCCTGTAGTGTCAAACGAGAAATCTTCTCGAGTAGATGTTTCATCAGTAGATGATGTGCCAATTGCCAGAACTTCGCGTAGCACAAGCTTAACAAAGAACTCCACAGTAACACTTCGGCAAAAAAGGCCACAAAAAATCGTGAAAAAATGGAGCGATTAGAGGAATTAGGTGAGATTTATTTGCCAAATTACCTGTTGCAGGCAAAGAAAATATGTATGTGTTGCCTTAAAAGTCTATGATGAATATTTAAATTTCTATTCTCTTCTTCATCGCTTGAGCTTATTGATTTCAGCAGACTTCACAGCTTGAATATATATTTTGAATGTCGAGAACATAACAATAAACTGGAAAACCATAATTTCACAAATAAATTTTCCCAAATAGAAAATTTTCCGCGCACAGTGTTTCCCCGTATTCTCAATTCACAATGCTTCGTCTGCAGAATACCTGTACAGAATACCTAAATAAAGACAAAGGGACAAGTTGACGATAAACATTGACGATCGTCAGCGAAGATGTAGACGATATTCAGCCTAAGGGGGTACATATTTTTTTCATTCAATTTCAGTCGTGAAGAGCATCGATATATCGTCTCAATAAGCTGAGCTCAATTTTAAGCTGTTTTTGGCTTAGGACTTGGGTTGCACTCCGGTAAATATCTACGAGCATAGAAAACACTATTAAATGAGTACAAATATCTAAAATGAAACTAAATCGTCTAATAAAATCTGAAAAAAGTTGTTTCGGAGGATGACATAATCGGTAGTCATCAATCAAAACAAGGCAAACAATCAAATTGCATCAGGAGCAGACTAATGGTTCGATGCTTCTCCTATACTAATTTCATGCTAGGTTCTAAGCCACATTGAGTATTCATAACGAGTTATCCAAGCAGATGCAGCTCTTTTTTATGACAGATCACACGTGAGACGTGTCATGATATTTTGTTCATGGAAAGACTTACGCCAGAACAACCTTTACAAATCCTTCAATTTTATTGCGAAAATTCATGTTCTGTAAAGCATGTGTTTCGTACGCTTCGCTAAACTTGTAGTCAACAGCGATGGGGCCCACTTCCGTCTCAATGGGTATGTAAACAAGCAAAATTGCCGCATTTGGGACGAAGAGCAACCTGAAGAGATTCAAGAGCTGCCATTTAATCGAGAAAAAACAACGGTTTGGTGTGGTTTGTGTGCCGGTGTAATCATCGGTTGATATTTATTCAAAACTGATGCCGGTGAGAACGTAGCACACAATGGCGACCGCTATCGCGCCATGATAACCGACTATTTGATTCCTGAAATTGAAGCTCGTGATCTCGGCGACATTTGGTTTCCAGAAGACGGCACCACTTCCAGCACGTCGCATCAATCAATGGATTTATTGAGAGAAAAATTTGCTGAGCAAAAAATTTTAAGTTTTGGGCTGATCGATTGGCCACCAAGATCTTATGATATCACACCCTTTGACTTTTTCTAGTCTTAAGACTATGCAGACAATACAGCTTCGTTCGAGATAATTTTAAAAAAGTAAATGCCAAAGAATGTTCCTTCGAATGATAATAAACATTCAACATTAAATTGGAATTTTTTGCGTTTTTTTTTTGTCTTCAAAAAAGTAGGAAGCCTCGAAATGAATCACCCTTTATAAGCCAATTACATTGCGCGTTTGGTCCTCTTCGAACAAAAATTAAAAATAATTTCAACCGTACAAAAACAAGAAATAAATCAATAAAAAGACCACAAGCAGCGATGACGTCACACACAGGATGTCATATATTATTATTGCTTTAGAAAGCAGATTATTTCAATTTTAACGCGCAAATAATAAAGTCAATAAAAACATTTTTTGCTACTATTTTCACAGATAACTTTAATATTCAGCAATTGAAAGCAAACAAATTTTTTATTAATTAGATGCTCAAGGCGTGGACACACCTACGCACAACGAATACCGTTCCCAATGACGTAAATAAATTTAAATTAAGAAAATATAAAAAAATCAAAAACTCCACGAACAATTCTTCTTCAGGTATGAAACACGTGCTGTGAGATTTTCAAAAGTTTTTACAACAATAATTGTTGTAGGGATTGCAAAAACGCAGTTCATTGAGGTGAGCTAATGGGAGCTCCAGTAAAGATTCATTTTCGATGGGTTCAGCGTGGAGAGAGAAGGGTGTTAGACCACAAGCGTTTAGTGGACACGTAAAGAGGACATTAGTATCGTTGCGGCATTAATTGCATTGAGGGCAATAGGTACGTATGTTGGGGCCAAATCTGAATAGGTAGCATGCAGACCATAATTAGCTCTTCGTCTTCTACGATTGGTGAGTGAATTCCCTTTATAAATGACGTTTATGGCGCGATTGTAAGTTGTCGAGCCCAGAGGTAATCTCTTTCGCTGAATGGAGTCCTTAAGGTCAAGTACTTCCTTTGTGATGTGTTTAGGTGGATGTTCGGCTTACTGTAAATATCTGCAAGTATAGTCTCTACTGTAGCATCCCCGTAGATATTGCTTACACAATAAATTTTTAAATGGCACCTTAACTGAAAGCATAGATCTTTCACTGTGTAAGCGGTGGATGGATAATCCAGGTCCACATCGCGGTATTCGAACAGGGTCGAAGCTTCGCGTCTCGCTAGTCCCCTGCGTCCAAATCGGTGCGACCGTCCGAATTAACGCCTGGCCGGCTGAAATTTCCTTATTTGAGTAAGTTGCTAGCAACGTTTATTTGGCTCTCCCTAGATGTTGTCTCGTGTCTCTGTACTTTGGGGGAAATCTCATTCGTAAGCCTTTCACTTCGCTACATGTTGTCGAATGTGACTCCCACTTACTTGGGGTTGTTTGTTGTCGAAAGATTGACGTCGTTGACATTCATATTCAGTTCCAGCTGGCACTCCTTCGTCCAGCGAAGTGGTAAAGAGGCTAGTCGAGGATTTCGTAAGTTGTAGTTGTAGATGTCGTATATTGAGAAGTGGGAAA